ACCTCACCAAACTCTCAGCATAGCAGGCAGCAAGAGCACAACCTGACCCCAGTGCATGCAGTACACAAGCCTGTGACGAATCACACCCCTCAGACCTGCGTGGCTTCGGGATCGCAGTGGCTCCGGGCCACAGTAGAGCAAGACCCCTATCACTGTGTCTCAGGTCCTTCAGAGATGCCACCTGGGCCACCAGAGGCAGCAAACTTGAAATACCTTGTCACTGTTTATCTGTATGGAGGGTGGCTTGTGGCCATGCTAACGGGCCCTTGCTCGTGAGATGTCTGAGTTCACCACCAGGTGATATCTACAAGAACCATGGTGGTCCTTGTCCCCCATGTGACCTGCATGGTGAGAGGTCATCATGAATTTTGCCTCGGTGCTTGGGCCCTGGAGCCAGACTATCTTCACTGACTCTCAGCTGTGTGAACTCCTAGTTACGGTAGAGCTGTCCCTCTGTACCTGTACTTCCTCACCTGTAAGATGGGGAATCAAGATGAATAGCCTGCAGGATGGATGCGCAGGCTGCAGGGCACAGGGCAGCTGCCCAATACAAGGAGTACTCCCAGGCACGTTGGAGAGAAACTTCAAAAGCATCCACAGTGGACAGTGACACCTTCTTGCAGGTCACAAGCCCCTTATACCAGGCTGTGAGCTCCATGAGGAAAGGGGCTTTGCTCCCCTGTACTTCATGCACCTGACTCTGGGGTTGCTGAACAACACCCGCTGAACACCTACATGGAGCAGAAAGAGTGTGGAACAGTGGAACAGGAGATTCAAGTCCAGGTCTTTCCTACTGCAGTGAGGAGCTGTGGAAACTTGGGAATGAAAGAGCTGGGCTTTCCAAATGTGCAGGCAGTGAGGATGGAGGCAGGGGCTGGATGACTTTTGTCTGCCGGAACACCAGAGGATGTCTGGAGATATTTGTTCATGTCATATTGAGGCGATGACATTGGTTTCTAGTGGGTAGAGGCCAAGAGACCTCTTAAATATCCTACTAAGCATAGAACACCTAGAGCCAAGAATTGATGACAAATATTCATCACAAACCAGCAGTGGGGAGGCGAGAAGCCCTACCAAGGAAACACGATCTAAAGCCGTAAAGTCATATGCTAGCGCTGATTAGGACCCACAGTCTTATGACGTGTACCGAGTGCAGCATTAGATTTTAAAATGTAATGTTTTCAAGGATTCCAAAGGCAAGTATGATGTGATTTTAAATGTTATTTTTTTCCTTTAAGAAATGGTAAGCATAGAAAATTCAACTCCTAAAACTCCTTTTTCATCAGAGCCTTCCTGTTCTGTGAATCTTTATGAAATGGTGTGGAAAAGTCACCCCTGCTCAAGTCCTTGACCAAAAATGAGGGGACAAGCCCTAAAGTCACTCGCCAGGTGAATGGAAGCCTCAGCTGTCATGGAGCCCTGACCAGACCTTGGACAAGACATGCCACTTGGCCCAGTGGCCGTTTGTCATCTGGAACCATTAGCAGAAAAGGTAGCACTGATTTTAATTTTGTTCCCCATTTAGGAACTAAGGTCAGGGAGGTTAGACCCACCCAGGGCTTCATGTTTCTGCAGTGTGCCATAGGCACACCCCCTACAACATGTGGTCACTGATGCCCTGCACCCCTGGGGACACCATCCTGCTGGACTCTTCTGTATCCTGGGGCCATGCCGAGGGTTGCACTGTATGGAGTGCACACTGAATGAAGATCTCCCACTGGGACTGAAGGCTGATGTCCTGCCGGGTCTCCTTGGTGCTCACTTGCTGCTTGGTGCCAATAAAGGATCCTTCATCACAGTGACACTGTAGGGAGCATCTCTGCCTAAGGGATTCTTCTAGGGGAAGCATCTTTGTCTTTGCAAGAGACCCTGAGATGTGAAGAGGGCTGAAGGCCCAGGGTGCGCCAGGTAGCCAAGTAGCCTGGGGCTTGCAGATGGATGCTCGTGGGTAAGGGACACAGAGCGGGTGAGTGGGCAATTCTCCATGGTCCTTGTGACTCGGCTCAGAACCAAGTAGAGGATGCACAGTCTGAGCACAGTGGTCCACTGCAGAAGTCCACGAAGTACCAGGTGTCAGAATGACTTTGAGAAAGGGTTAAACTGCAGGCCCCAGGCCTGCTCTCTCTCTTCTGGTTTAGAAGAGATAGTTCACAATTTTGGTTAAGTGGGGAGGGGCAACAATAGAAAACCACCAATAAAGTGGCTGAAAATTCATAAATTTATTGTCTTACAGTTCTGGAGCCCAGTAGACAAAGTCGAGATGTTGGCAGAGCCGGTGCCCTCTGAGGGAGAGTGTGTGCCAGGCCTCTGTCCCAGCTGCTGGTGCTGCTGGTGGCTGCATTGCTCCAGGCTCTGCTGCTGACATCACGTGCTTTATGGTTCATATCTAAAGTGGGCCCCAAAGCCTCAGATATTTGGAAGGTGATGGAGTCACAGGAGCCCTGTGTTTGCCAGTGGATTCATCAACTGTGCTGTGAGAAGGTGGGGTCTAGTTGGAGTTTGGTCACTGCGGGTGTGAGCTGGAAGGCTTTAGTCTTCCTTCAAGCTCCTCCCCTCTTTCACTTTATTTCCTGGCACCATGGCTTGAGCTCTCTTTCCTTTTCCAGGCCCCTCTGCCAAGCTGTCCTGCCTTAGAGCCAGTGAACTACAGACAGAAATCTTTATAAACTGTGAGCCAAAACAAACTTTCCCCCCCATTAAATTGTGGGTGTTAAGTGTTGTGCCTCATCACTGGGAAGGTAACTGAGATGGAAATTGGTACTGGAGAGGTGGGGTCATGGCTGTGGCTACACCTGGTGACGTGGTTCAGAAGCTTTTGGAAGTGGTTCATGGTAGGGGTTTGGAAAGGCTTGGAGATACAGGCTACAGAAGTCCTAGAACACTGTACCTTAAACATGATGGGAATTTTGGAGTTCAGAAGACCAGTATGATGACAGAAATGCAAAGAAAGGCCACACTCAGGAAGCTCAGGAGAACAAGGTCTCCACTGGAAGTTGGACTGAAAACTAGGTATGTTGTGTCCTGACAGAAAACTGGTCTGCATTTTGCCTATATCCTGAAATTTTGTGGAAAACTGAGATTGAGGGAAGTGGATTAATTAATCTGGTAGAGGAACTTTCAAGGCAGCCCAGTGTTTGGCCTGTGGCATGGGTACTGTTAGTTGCCTTTAGTTAGCTTTGCATCATGGGAACTATCCAAGCATAAACTGAACCCAGTGAAACCATGAACTAATATAAACCTCTCCTCTTGTAAGTTACAGGTGCTGGGTATATTGTCTCAGTCAGTGGAAAGTGACTGATACACCAGGTCTGTGAAAAGTAAAGCAGGAGCTGTTGGAGGTGCTAGGCATGGTTCACAGCCTGCCTCTGTGCAGCATTCTGGATCCATCCTCTGGGTCCCCACTGTGCATACCTTGGGAAGAAGGTATTTGATCTAATTTTCCAGCTACTCAAGCACCAACATAGTCAGTTCCCCAAATGTGGGATTGCAGGAAGAAGAGGGGGATGAAAAGTTCCACTTTATTCTTGGTTTAAGTCTAAACTCTTGGTTTTTAGACATCGCATAGCCATGTTTACAGCTGAGAAACTGGCAGGAAGGGCTGTGGATGGACAGAATGTGTCTCCTTTCCTAAGCAATGGAGCAGACACACATCCCAGGCCCCTCCTGCAGCAGGACCACAGCTCCTCAGTCCCCTGCTCAGGCTGCAGAAGGGAAGGACTTGCATGAGACACAGGGAAGTGGGGCGCTGTTGTGAGTAGTTCCGACTCCTTGCCATCCCCCCAACATCCAGCCAGCTTTGAGAAACCCAGGCCTGGGAAGCTCCACACAGAGACCTTCAGGTCCGCAGCCATGGGCTTGGGAGGTCTGGCTTCAGGTCAAGAACGTGGCTGGTGGAGCCGAGTGCTGTGGAGACACCCAGCTGGCAAATGAGGATCTGTGCAGGCCAAGCAGGGGGGACCCAAGCCCAGGACAGCAGCAGCTCAAGTTTTGCTAATAACCAGAAGAAGCTTCAGTTTGGATTCTTCAGAATACAAACCAGCTCCTTTCCCAAGGCATTGAGAGCCACCTGTCCCTCCTGTTACTCAGGGGCTATGTCTGGCTGTGTTGAGCAGAAACCCAGCTTTATAGCAGCTTCAGCCAGTCCCACATTCCCCTTCATGGGTTCAAGGTCTGGTGAGCAGGGAAATGCAGTCACCAGCTGTGCCAACATCCCTTGTGAGATACATCATGAGGCTGGCAATATAGGATTTGGCAAAATCAAAGAAGAGAGAAAGCCATTTTCCAGAAAGGGCAAAAGATGGAAGGGTATTTGCAACTGCAGGTGGCATCAAAGGACATTGTTGTGGGGGCTGTCGCATGGGGTCTGACCCAGGTTCCTCCATCGAAGCCTGAGTTGTCCAGTTCCTCTGCTGACCAGCACCTGTGAGGGTGAGCTGATAGCTGGGGTGGATGCCCACAGAGGCTCTCCTAGACTCTGTGATGTCTCGTTTCCTGTGAAGCCAGGGTGCTGGGTATCTGCATGCTGCAGCCCCTTTACCCAAGTACAAAATGAGACTAGCATTCACCTGAGAGTGCCCCACCCCTCCAGGCGTGCCGTCAACAGCTGGAAGAGGCTTTACAGCCCTTGTATTGTAAGAGAGCCGTTTGCATGTGGACACCAGGCAGGATGCACTGCAAGGCTGAGGACCCTGCTTCAGGTCCCTCCAGCAAGGCACAACCAGGTGGTCCCAAGAGCCTTCCCATGGGGGCTCCTGCCTCAGGCCCCTGTGCTTGGCCATCTCCACTGTCACTGAACAACTGAGGCTCCCAGAGGCAGAGGCCAGCAGGGGTCAGGTCACGCAACAAAGGCAGCACTGGGCCCCAGCTTGGTCTAATTGCTAATCCACTCCCCCAGGGCCCTCACTCTGCCCCCCCCCCCGACCTTGGGCAGCCTCCACTGGGGCTCTGAACTGTGATTCTGCCGGGGACATGGTGATGGAGCCCGAGGCCCGAGGACTCACTTCTCTCTGTTGAAGATGATGAATTCCTTCCGCACCGTCTCCAGACACTGCTGCAGGTGCCCATTCTGCCAAAGACACAGAGAATGACTAAGTGACAGCGCTGTCCAAGGACGAGTGGCCAAAGGCAAGGACTGGTCTAAGCAGGAGTCACTGCATGGGGTCAGGAAGGAGCTCAGGGGCTGGGACAGGTGCCCCCTGCAGGGGAGGCTGGCAGGGCAGTGTGTGTCTCAGTTTCAAGCCAGCGCAAAAGCCGTGTAAAGAAGGAGGTGACAGCAGTCTCCGCTGGCATCTCTCCTGGCGTTTGGCTGTCACTAGGCCCATGTCAGTAAGAAGAGAGGAAAAATCCAAGGCCATCATGCAAGGCCCTGTTCTCCTTCAGACCACAGATCCTCCCCTGGGTGCCCCAGGGCCCTCACAAAGCTGGGTGGCATGGACTATACTCAGGGCAGTGGGCACAGCTGGATCCACGAGACCTCTGGGGGTCGGGGAGGGCTTTTAATTTCTTTTAAAGAAGGAAAACAGGAACTTTAATCATGGAAGATTATACTCATCATACCAGTGCAGTCATGAGAGAAAACATGTTTTTGTAGAGGAAGGCATGACTGTGGATTGAATGGTGTCTCCCACAATGTGTAAGTGCTAGGCTCTGGTGTCCAGGAATGTGACCTTATCTGAAATCGATCTTTGCAGGGCTCATCATGGCCACAGTGGGTAACTGGTGACCTAGAGCCAATGACTGGTGTCTTGGTATGCAGCCCAGGTGAGGGCACAGAGACAGGTCAGGTGGAGGTGGAGGCAGATGGCGGTGATATTGCTGTCCTCAAAGGGACACCAGGGGTCTGCAGTAATCACCAGAAGCTGGGAGAGCCTAGGAGGGCCCAGCCCCACCACCTCCGGAGGACACAGGGCCTGACTGGCGTCTCCACTGAGGACTCCCGCCCTTCAGGATGGGGGAGGACAAACGCTGATTGTTCGAAGCCACCACTTGGGATCCTTGGCTATTGGCCTGAGGCACTGATTCCGCGGCCCTTCGGGTAAAGGTGCCACGGCTCAGAGAGTCACAAGGTGGCCCTGGGCCCCCACAGTGTGAAATCTTCCTAATGGGCGACCCAGCGCTGCTGGAGCTGCCCAGCACCGATTCCCTCATGGCTGCTGGGACAGATCCCGGAGCTGAGGCAGAGGGGTGACCTGGCAGGAAGGGCCACAGGAAAGCCCCTCTGTTGAAAGAGGAGGCTTGGCCAGTACTTTGTCTCCCGCTCTCCTGCCGACTGTCCCTGAGAGGAACTCACCAGGGAGCAGGTGTCCTTCGAGCTGTCTTTGGACCTGTGCTTTGCCAACCTCTTCTTCTTTTTGTGAAGTGGCTTGGATTCGAGAATCATCTCCTCAAGTTCAAATGTGGGGTCACAGTTCAGTCTCCCTTTCTGAGGGGGACGGGAAGAAGTGGCTGGTCAGGGTCTCACCAGCTACTGAGCTTCTCTTCACCCACCCAGTCATGTAGTCACTGGTCAAGCGGGGACCCACTACCACCGCAGGGCACGTGGCCACATGTTCTTTTCTGCCTGCTCCCTTCCTTGGCTTACAGCCACCGTCCCAGCCAGGGTGGCCCCACCCTGTCACCATTCCTCGTCTCCCTCCTATTCATGATTTTTACAGGAGCTTGGGTTCCATTTTCCAATCTGATTGTTTCTCAGGTCATTTTGTCACACAGGCATTCTCTGGTCATTGTTCTCCCAAACGCTAGCAGGGTCACCATTCAGGACTGATGTGACACTCCTGGAAAAATGCCCAGCAGGAGAATGGGCTCAGCCCTGCTTGCCATTCCCATCCACTCCTGGTCCCTGTCACAAGCACACACTGAGCCCTCTGGTGATTTCCAGAGCTGCCACCGCTCTGGGGTCTCTCCAGACAGTCAGTCACCCCTATGCTCTCGGGATGAGGGCAGCTGTGCTGCAGCCAGGCAGCCTGACCACCCACGCAGAGGCAGTGAGAGGCTCAGACACACTGCAGGGAAGGAGGTGGGCACTGCTCACGCTCTCGGGGCAGCTTCAATCCAGAGGCCTCTGCCGAGCCCCCCACCTGAGTCTCCAGGGAGGGATAGGAGACCACCAGATGTCGGGGGTGGAAGTGTCCCTGAAGAGGAAGACTCTGGGTCCTGGGGAGCCACACAATGACCGGGATGGCTGCAGGCAGCTCGTGTGGCTGAGACTGGGCCTCTATGTGTACAAGCATGTGTGTGTCTGAGTGGGGGTGAGTGTGTGTGCACCTGAAGGGGGCTGGGGAGCAGAGGCAGGTGCTCATCCCCAGCGGGCTTGACCACTAACTGACAATGCCATGTGCTGACCCCGGGGCCCCAAGTCCCCAGCACGCAGCCCAAGGGGGCCTGGGCTGGGCAGGGAAAGCAGGACCTGGGACGTGTGCACACCTGTGTGGCCGTGTCAAGCGCTGGGACCCTGCGCCTCAGGTTGGCAGCCACTGAGGTGCCAGCCGTTCTCTGCAGTGCCCAGAGTGGGCATCTTGAAGAAGGCAGCCCCAGGGACAGAGGGTGCCTTCCAGAGGGTCTGCGAGTTAAGGCAGCAGTAGGGCATGGCGGCACATGCCTGTCATCCCAGCATTCTGGGAGGCTGAGGCAGGAGACACAAGTTCAGACCCAGCCTGGGCAGCTCAGTGACTTACCACTTCTCAGATTCTATCTCACAATAAACAGTACAATGGGCTGGAGATGCAGCTCCCTGTGAGGGTCCCGGTTCAACCCCAGCAAGGAAAGCACAAAACGAAACAGAAGAACGGCAGCGCCCCCTAGCGTCCGCCCCTGCAGCCAACCTGTGCCACCAGGAGGTCTTGGGCCCGGTAAGCCCTGAGCCCTGCTTTTGCCAGGCGACAACTTTGTTCCCAGGGCACAGTTGGCGAGGCCTGGGGACATCTGTGGTTGTCAGAATGGTAGGGGGCCCTCTGTGACCTCATGGGCGGAGGCAGGCACCCCCACCCTGACCCCACCCTGAACGTGGAAGGCACTGGAGCGGAGCTGGTCTGCAGCTCCTAAAGGCTGTGCCGTGACGCGTCTGCCCTGGGCTCCTCATGTCCAGCACAGCAGCCTGGGCAGGCACTGGGGAGACAGATGGCGGCAACAGTGTCTCCACTTTGATTGGGTGCTGACCAGTCAGGGGACCAGAGAGCGGGCGAGGGGGAAGCCGCCCTGCTGACAGGGTGGGTCATGGCAGGTGTCACTCCCAAGGGATGTCTGGCCACTCCCCCACACACGCAGATGCACGTGGTCACACTCACAGATGTAGCCGCATATTCACATGCACACTCACCTAGACAACCCAGAGACACACTGACATACACACTGACACACCTAGACACCCATAGAGACACACTGACACACTTAGACACCCAGAGAGACACGCACACACACCTAGACACCCAGAGACACACACTCACCTAGACATCCAGAGACATACTGACACACACACACACACACACTAGATGCCCAGAGAGACACAAACACACACACCTAGACACCTAGAGAGACAATTACACACCTAGACACCCAGAGACATACTCACATGCACACTCATGCACCTAAACACTCAGAGACACAGTCATACACACACTCATGCACCTACACACCCAGAGACACGCACTAACACACCTAGGCAGACAGACAGACACACTGATGCACACACATTTACAGAGACAGTCACACACAGATACACACCTAGACTCTCAGATACACACCTAGATACCCAGAGACACACACACCTAGACACACAGACACACACAAAACACACACACTCTCAAACACCTAGACACCCAGAGACACACTCACACACACATACCTAGACACAGAGACATATGCATATTCTCATATATCTAATGCATGCAGACACAGACGCATTCACAGACACACACATTCACACACATACATACCTTTATACATCTAGATGCACAGACACAGGCACAAATCCACATTATAAACATGCACGCATCATTCACATAGACACACTCTGCTATGCAGAAAAAACACATTCAGAAACCCTGACACATCTAGATAGACACGAACTCACAGATAGTCGCACAGACACACATTCATACACGGAGACACACATGCCATTCCCTGAAATAGACACACAGCTCAAAGCTGGCCTGGCCCACACAGGCTGAGGAGTCTGTCCACCCTAGCCCCGGCGAGGGGGCATGTCCAGGAAGCTTCCTGTGGTGAGTGCTGAAGCACAGCAGGTCTGGGTGTCGGGGACAGGATACCCACCTAGGGGCCAGTGCAGGGCAGCTGGGTCGTGCAGCAGGGGCTCCCTCAGGAACTTGGGCCCAGGTGTGGTGAGTGCTGTGACCATTGGGCTCTGGGTGCATTTGGGGAAACATGTGCACTTCTTAAAATCGTCCTCCAATAATCAGCCTTGGGACAGTGGAGACTCGCTCCAGCCTCGGGGCGCAGCAGGACCCTGCTTTGGTGCCCTACTTTCCACTTCTGCAGACAATGAGAATGGGAAGAGGTGGCAGCAGAGGCCACCTAGGGTCCCTTTCCCGCTCCCATCTCGCCTATGGGCAGGGAGGCAGGGCAGCCACAGAACAGTTGTGAGGTCTGGGTGGGGCGGGTGGGTACGCCTCCCAGGTCTCAGATTCGATGTGACCGATTGGTGATGCTGCTGGGTTCTGATCTACTCATCAGCGCCCCTCCGGTGCTCTCTGTGAGCGCTCCAGGGGGAATGGCCACTGTGTGGCTTAGAGCAGTCCTGGCAGGTTTCTGCACAGTCCCTCTCCAGAGCCTCCTGCAGCCACTGTCCTCCCTGAGACAAAGCCCACAGCCTTCCCTGTGTCCCTCCAGGAAGCTCCCCAGCATGGCGACTTCCTCCCTCAACCCCACTCCCAGTTTTCCTTCTGGTCTGTTCTGCTTCAGCCACAAAGCATCCGTGCTATGCCTGAAACCCCGGCTTCCTGCTGCCCCAAGGGGGTGGGGGTTACCCTGTGTCCCTGTGCGGGCCTGGCTCCTTGCCCGGTGTAGATCTCTGTCAAGTCTCCCTAGAGGACCCCCTGCCACCACTCACACCCCTGCCTCTTCCTCTCTGAGCTTGCTTGCTGTACTGACTGCCAAGGCATGAGCCATGCTCCCTGGCCGGGCAGCTCACAGCCTGTGTTCCTCCACTCGACAGTTGGGGAGCAGACCAGCCTGCTCCGCCAGTGCCCGGACCTGTGCTCCATGCAAGCAACGATGCTCAGCACCCAAAGGATGCCCACAGGAGGTGGACCTTGGACATCAGGGTCAAGTCACTCAGGCTCTCTGGTGCTCCAGAGGCAATGGCCAGCAGATGCCTGCCTGGCTCATGCGGCTGGGCAGGGACAGGCTTAGCACCCAGCTGCTGAGGGACCCCACTCACATTGGGCACAAAGCCGGGCATCAGTGCCTTCTCAAACACGGCATCCCAGTTCATGTTGGCCAAGTAGGGTGCACTCTGAATGTTGCTGAGGCTGGACAGGCGGCTCTCGGGGTCCTTGGTTAGGAGCTGCAGTCAGAAGACACACATGTCACTGAAACTGTGCATGGAGACCGCTGGTGTGTCCTGGCATGCTATGCTTGTTGGTGCCCCTGTCTGGGTCATTGGCAGTGCTACCTGCACATATCTCTTTATAGCCAGAGGGCACACAGCATCTGCAAGGACTCAAGCAGGGCTCTTAAGCTTAAGAGCAGGGTCTAGATTTTCTAGACTTTCCACCTTCATGCTGGAGATTGAGACCTGAGGCCATCCACCTCTCCCTGATACCTGCACAGGCTTCAGCTGGAAGAAAAAGAAGCAACTGCCTGTCTCACCATCTCCAACTTGGTCATGCAAGCATCGTAGCAATCTTCCCTGGCCAGCTATGAGGTAACCTCTTTGGCTTTTTGGAGAGGTCTCATTCATAGCCCAGGGAGCCACTTTCATCTTCAAATGGAGTTTTTGCTCACAATGGTGATGCAGAGTGAAAGCAGCCACCCATCCTGCTGACATCTGAAGGGCTCTTGTCCTTTCAAACATTCCAGCTTGCCCGCGCAAGGTTCTGGCTGGGGCTGGAAATGCGGGAGCAGGGCTGTGTCCCTGGGACTGTCTCCAAGAGCCACTGGACTGCGGTATGCTGCTGAATGCGCTGGGATTGGGTCTCCTTGTGAAGGTGGGGAGCGGGTGCTTGCTAAGGAGCAATGTGTCACCAGTTGGGACCCAGATGTCAGAGCCCGTGCCTGATGGTTTCCCTCCACTGTCACCTCTCACTATGGAAATGTCCAGCCACACCCCCTGAGTGGGCTGGCACTGAGCCTGAGGGACACCTGGCAGGGAGGCCCCTGCTGCCCACCCTGGCCTCTGTTCGGGGCGGTCTGTCCCAAAGGTACAGGAGTAGTCTGCCGCTCCACTGCCATCTGGGGACCATTGTGGGCAGCTGTGCTGAAAGCTCCCTAGGACTCGGTGGCTGGGCTGGGAGGGGCAGTGCTGGCTTCCAGATGCTTCAACTGCCTGTCAGGGTTGTGGCCCTTGGCCTTGCTGGGACCACATGATGAGTCTCTGTCATGGTTTATGTTTGTGTCCCCCAGGCCTCATGAGTTTGCATTGTTCATATGTGATGGTTCATTGTATAGTGCTTGGATTGATGGTGTCAGTGCTCCACCCACATAGGGGTGGAGCCAGGATGTGATGTAATGGCAGGAAGAAGGTGTGTTTCTCTTTTTGCTGGTTAGAGTTTGCTGTTGGCGGCCGCCATGAACTGCAGCCCAGCCATGCCTGCCTGTCTTGGAGCCAACTGAGTGTGGACTGAAACCTCCAAAAACTGTAAGAAATAAACCTTTCCTTTCCCAACTTTGGGCTTCAGGTATTTTGTCTCAGCAATGAGTAAAAAGTAACTAAGACAGTCTCCCTTGGGTAACTGGACTCATTAGTAACCCACAAGGCCTAGCTATATGGGGACTGAAAGCTGGCCCTGGGGCAGCAGGACTCTAGCCCTGCCCCTGCCCCTGCCCCTGAGCAGCCCTGAGGCAGTGGTGACAGGGTTTCCCTTTCCTAAGCCTTGGCTTCATCTCTCCTATGAGGATGATGCCACCACTCCTGGTGGGGACAGATGGGCAAGAGCCCTCACCTACGTGCAGCTGTCATCATTGTTCTTGCATACATGGCTGTGCCAACCACGCTCAAGACTCGGGTCTATGCATTTGAAGGGGACCCCGGGGGGCACTGAGACTGGGCCAGGCACCAGAGCCTTGGGAAATGCATCACACAGAGAGAGGGGCTAGCCCAGGGCCTGACTTGGGCATAGGTGAAGGGGCCGGAAATGTGTGTTTGCACAAGTGACAGGGGATGCCGCTGGGCCAGGGAGCCACACTTGCATCCTGCTCTTTAGTCTACCAGGAGCAGCTCCTGCCAGAGGTCTGGAGGTGCCCAGTTCCTGAAGATCAGGGGTTAAGCTCAAGCCACAGCCAGGAGGCACTGCCATGACCAGGAACTGGTAGAGGAAGGAAGATCCCAGGACTTGGTGTCAGGGAGTCCATGGTCCTTGCAGTCTGTTGGCACCCTGTGGTGGGGCTTATTGCCCCACCATGGAGTCCAGCCTCGGTGTCTCCACTTTCCCTGTACTCCCCACACCCCCATGTCTACACCAGAGGACACTGAAGCTGGGGCTGGCCCTTACCTTCTTCAGCAGGGCCACCATGCCAGGGCACCATGCAGAGGAGTAGTGAACGCGCTCCACCTTGATCGTGTTGAGGATCTCGTCGATGGGCGTGGATGAGTGGATCTCATAGGGCCTCTGTAAGCAAGGGACAGCCAGAGTCAGACTGGGCATGTGATGGCCAGGGATGGCATAGTGTCCCCATCAGAGGTATAGACCTCACCTTCTGGTGGACCTTTCCCTGTCCTGCTGGCCTTGTCTGAGAGGGGCCAGGGCTGATGTTCAGATGACATTAAAGGGACATAGGAAGAAAACAACCATGTGCAAGCCAAGGAGAGGCACCCAGAATGGCACTTCCCTCATGACCCAGGAGAAGCCCATCCTGCCCTAGCCTCCTGCTTGAGCCCCAGACTGTAGGACCCTGCTGCGGAGGCACAGAAAATGAACACAGCCATCACATGTCCACAGGCAGAGCTCTGGTCCATGGGTTTGACCCTCTGTTCTTGTGAGGCTGTCCTCTATGGTCAGGATAAATAGGCCCTGCTGCCCGGGATGGGGGTATGGGGAGGGGGGAGGGAGACAGGCAGCTGAATTGTTGGGGTGTGAATGGGGTGTGGGGAAGAAAGCTATGAGTGCCAGGATCCTGGGAGGGTCCATAATCTCTACAGGGTGGCCTGAGCTTGAGACTCCCACTAGACACAGCGGGGTGCCTGCAGAGGGGCTTCTGGACTGGCCCTCCCATGTTGCTCCTTTCAGTGTACTATTCGCCCACTGTGCACCAGCTGTCTGGACACGCTAACAGAGAGTCTCATCTCATCCTCATCAACAAGTCAGGAAACTGAGGCTCATGGATGAATAGAAAGATATGAAGTGTTAGACCAAGCCCTTTCCCTAAAGCTGCTGGAGAGTTGCAAATTCCATTGCCTGGGGCAGAGCCAGCCAGAAGAAAGGTGGAGACTTCCCCCATCACGGACACTCATCTCTGTCTCCTGTCCAGCCACTCCCTCAGGAGCTCTGCACTATCCGAAGCTCCCAAGTGAGCCACCCTCTCCCTACACTAATTCTCTCCACTTCTCAAGGGAGTGAGACTGACCACTACCACCACCACAGTCAGGAGCACTGCAATACGCCGCAAGGTCAACATAGCAAATGCATTTAGAAATAAGCCAAACCAAAATACACCTGAACCTTCTTGCTCCAGGTTTAGCCTTTTCCTGTTTGGGTGGCTCCAGGGAGAGTCAGGTCCTCTTTCAGGAATCACTGGCGAATATTAAGATCAATATCCTGTCTGCTGGTGGTGGAGAATTCTCCTGATGCTAGCATGCTCTTGGTGGCCTTTGGATGGGTGGACCCAGAGAGGCGAGTGTTTCCGAGGTAAAGGAACTGCATGTGCTTAGGCGGAAGTGATTTTAGCAGCAGGACAGTGTGTACATACTCATCACGGAGTGCAGGTGTCAGTGCAGGAAACTCAGTTTACAAAAAGTACCAATTTACCAAGAAACGGGAATACAGAGAGTTATTTTATGTGTTAGGGCTAGACTTTGGAGACCATTTGATTCTCCATCCTCTACAAAAAATCTCTTTATTCCAAATCCCAGTACAGAAGAGAGGAAAGTGAAGAACAGTTCCTTGAGCATCTTAGACCTCCAAGGCTGGAGGAGATTTCCCCTCTCTGGAACTGTCTAATTGCTTCTGCAGGGGCCTAGAGTCCAGGAAACAAAATGCCCGGACAATCTAAGAGGCTTCTTCCTCCTGCTTTAAAAAGGAGTCCTTTATTTCCCAGGTTCCTGAGTCCTGTCTGTTTTACTAGGAGACCAGAACTAAGGGCCTCCTCCTTCTCCTGTTAGGTTGAACCCACCTATGAGGTGTGTACTCCTGTCATTCTTAGTAATGCACTCCAACCTCTAGGGAGCACTCCAGATACCCTTCTTGTATGCACTGGCCTCTCTACACCCCACAGTCTCTCTATTTCTGCAGACTACTTGGGTCAAGGTAACACAGGTGAGGGGGGTCGCAGTGAGCAAGCCTGTGCCACAGCGTGCGCCTTCTGGGACCACTCCAAGCCCTTGTCAGGAAGTCACACTCAGGGCCTCAGTTAATCCTCTGGCTATCTCTATGGTCAACTATAGTGTGTGGTTGGTGGTTCTCAACCCAGGCAGTTTGCCAGGGGCTTTTGGCACTGTTGGGAGACAATTTCGATTGTTGTACCTGGGTGGGGGAGATTCTGCTAGCTTCCAGCAGGGAGGCCGTGCACAGGAGGGGTCAGCCTGCAGTGCACTGGAGAGTCCCACCCAGAGAATGACTCAGGGCCCAGGGCCCACAGTACTGAAGGGGAAACCCTGGGGCTGAGGGCTGCACTGCTGCCCCCTCATTTAACAGACCAGAAACAGGCTCAGCACAGATCATTCAGAGATGCTGGGGCAGAGGCAGGATTTGAACTCAGGAATGCGTGATTCTAGAGCCTGTACTCTCTCTAGCCATGGTGCCACTGCTTTCTCACTGACTTAGCAGCGAAGGCTCTGTCCTGAGCTACCTAGCATAAAGCCCACGTCTCCCTGGCCATGGATGAACCAGCCTCAGCCTCCTCTTGGCTGTGTCTACACTATTGCCTCCAGCAGTTCACATCTGAGCAGCTCTCTCCCTCAGGAGTCTTCCCTGTCCGCCATGTCTCATCCTTGCTGAGCCTCATCCACCATCTCATGCTTGGTGTGATCAGCTGCTCCCATGTGCCAGATGCTGCCCAGGTGGCCACATTCCTCACTAAATCCCACAGTGACCCTGGAAGTTGGCCTCTTTATCCTCCTGTTATACATGAGAAGACTGAGGTTTGATGCACTGAGCGACCGTAGCACCAAGGAGCACCTCTGCTCATGAAGTTCGAAGCCTCATTGACTAATGGTCGGCACTCAGGTGTGATGCAGTGCGATGGTTAAGCTTAACTGACCACTTGGCTGGCTGACCGACTGCCCGGGGGTTAGCAAACCATGCTCGTGGTTGTGTCTGTTCAGATCATGGAGGGGTGGCTTGGGTACTATCTGTGTTCCCTGGCGTTCTCCTCTCTGGCACTGTTCCCTTGTTCAGCTTCCTAGCCACCATAAAATAAGCGGCTTCTCTTTGCTCTTCCCTTCCACCATGATATTCTTATTTTGGAGCCAGCATCATGGACTAAATCCCCCGAAATTGTGAGCTGACAAAATGGTGCTTTCCCTCCTTTAAGTTCCATGTGTCTGCTCCAGCCCTTCATTGTATAGCTGGGGAATGGGCGCCCAGAGTGGAGGGGTGTCACACAAGGTCCCTCGGTGACCAGCACCAGGCCAACCGCCAGAGCACTGCAGAGTGGTTTTCTGGTGCCACTCTAAGCCAATACTGAGAGCCCTCCTCTGTGTAGCCTTCTTCTCCCAGGGACAAAAAGCTGATCTGTACATCTGATAGCCTCTGCTTTTGGGGCTGGCTCTAGCACTTGGAAGGTGCCACCTTGGAAGGAACTGGGGCCTGTCAGCAGGTTCTTCCAGGACAGCAGTCCCATGGGCCAGGGGAAGGAGGCTGCCACCTAGACCCTGCTGGCTGCAGTGAGGTGCCTGGGAGAGAGGGGTTGAGCCTGTGAGAGTCCCCTGAGATTCTGTCTCTGTTACAAGGAGGCTGCTTTCAGCTGAGCAGGAGGGAAACCTATGGATCATTGGAGCTGACCAAAATGAAATGGAGTCTTCCTGGAGGTAAGGAGCTATCTGGGCCCCAAGGGTAATCAACTTCCAGAAGAGACTGCGGGGACGCAGCAGCTGATAGACTGAGGTGGAATGAGGAAGGGTAACCGCGACATGTGCACAGGTCTTGTGCGAGGATGCGTGTCTCCTGGACTGAATCAGGTACTTAATACTGAGCGCAAGCTCCTCATGCAGCCCTGTTGCCCCTCAGGTGAGAGAATAAGCCAGGCAGCAGCCTTTGGCAGGAAGGTTTGTGCCAGTTCATAGCAGGTGTCCTTCACTGCACACTCTGTCCCCACACCACAGGCCCCCGGCTGACTGTGAGTTTTTTCCCTGTTCCGCTGAAAGCAGCATCTGATCTTTGAGTCAGAAATGCGGAAGCATTAAAATGAAGCAGCAGCTTTTTGGAGCATCAAGATGTACCCCCCTTGAGGCTTTCTGCAGGTCCTGGTCTTCTATTGACCCTGAGGAACAATCACCGTAGTCCTTTCTGCTGGTGGTGTCCAGTTACTTAGGGCAGTGGCTGGCTGAGGTCACAGTGTGATGGATTTAAGATGATCAGGGTCTGGTGGACACCTGTGTGCGCCACTCCTGTGATACCATTGACCCTCGAGTCTCTCCTTCCCAGTGAGTGTCAACAGAGCCAGAGGAGCCAAACAGAAGCTAGCAGACCTGCGGCTTAGGGTTAGAGGTAGGCAAAAGAACCAGTTCATCTTCCCTTACACTCTAAAAACCACTATGTACTATAATCATGTTTTGAGGAATTCGGAGATGACTTGGTTAAAAGATTGAGATCAAGAGCCAGAAGCTGCTGCCGAAACGAGAGGGTGGTAAATCACATTTGTGCTCAGAGGGCTCACAGGTTATGAGCCACTGTTGTCACTCATCCACTGAACAACCACACGGTCAGTCTCCTTGTCACCATGCACTGGGGACCCCATGGTGACTAACTCTGCTCCCCTCGGGAGGGATGCCTTTTGCTGACATGAATATGCATGTATGCAAATGACTTCAAAACCTTGTTAACACCACAGCGTGTGGACTCTGGAGCTGTAGGGAAGAGGAAAAGAGATCTGCAAATCCTCCAGCCCCAGTTCCAGGAGGGGACTGGCAAGAGTGTTATTATCGCTGTTGGACCAATGAGGAAGGGGTTTCCAGGGGTGTGGTGACATCATATGCAAAAGATACTTGTGCAGCAAAAACATGCCTCAGTATTGGTTTTGTCATAAAATTTTCTGCTCAAATAAAAGTGTGAGTTATTAGTTGCTGAACTGCCTCTTTATCATCTTCCGTGATTACATGTAAATAAACCAAAATAAAAATGACCAGTGAGCACCCTGGGTCACTTCTATAGGGCACTGCATAATGTATTACGGGGAAGATAAGACTAAGACAAATAATGACAGCAACAACAACCCAAGGCAGGAAAAAGAGAGAGAGAAAGGAAAACAGAAACACCCTCTTCTAATCTTCAGCATTACAGAGCTTCCACCCAAGCCAGGAAGCACTGTGTCATGGACTCAAAGCGAAGAGGGTTTGAAACCACAAGGCCAAGGCGCTGGTCACCTGCAGACCTCATGTGAGCCCCCTCCCCCAGCAGCAGAATGAGGGGTTGGCCCAGAGCTCATGGCAGGGGCATGGGGGTGGGTGTTCCAATGCCCAGGGCCTGTCGAGCTGGGGTGCAGGCCAGGCATTGAAGCCAGAAGCTGGTTCAGCTTCTACCCAGCCCTCCACCCAGCCCTCTGTGCCACACACCCACCCCCTCCGGTCCCGCACATCTGTCTGAGCATCTCACCCAGCCCCGCAGCAGCTCATAGGCTGTGATGCCTAGGGACCACCAGTCGACGGGGTACGAGTACCCAGGGCTTCCGTCCACGTACACCTGGAAGACTTCTGGAGCTGCCAGAGACAAGAGAGAGAGAAGATCAGTGCATGTTATGGTTTACAGCCACCACCCCGCAGAGGGGTGAGGTCACGCACCCAGAGATTTTGATGGCATAGTCAGTGCTGCTTCTGTACTGCATAGCACACCTGCAGCTGTACACTTCACATTTTTTAAATCTGTTGCTTCTCATCCACCCTAGATCAGCCAGACACCCAAGTCCATGAATTGCCTTTTCCAGCCTGCACGGAGCCTGGAGCTGTGTTATTCAGAGCCCACTTGGACGCCACTGCCAAGCCCAAAGCTGAATTCACAAGGTTGTCTTTCCTGGCATGAGTCATGACCTGTCCCTTTCCCTTCTCTCCCCAGGGCTCTTGGAGAGTGGCCAGGTGGTCCTGGGCTGAGCTTCCTCAGGCCTGGACAGCTGCTAGCCTGCCCTCCAGCTCCAACAACACCCAGGGGTGCACAAGTGGGTGAGGGCGCCTCGGGGACTCCCAGAAGTCCTCCTTATGCCCAGCAGCCCAGGAGTCCACTTGGAATTTGAGGTGGGTGATTTATGCTGCTCAGCTGTCACGAGCAATCAAGTGACAAATGTCTGTAGTTGCAGGGAAGGTGACATGCTCTCCACCCCCGTGTAGTTGGGAGTTCATGATACAACACGAAGAGCATTTATCTCATAATCTCCATGTCACCAAAATTACCACTCTGGTGGCTCAGAGCCATTGCTATTAGACTTGAGGGAATCACGCAGTTTTAGAGCTGGAAGGACAGTCACAGCCCCGTTCCTGGCGACAGCCTCGCACAGGTGGATGGGTGAACAGTAGCCATGGTGATAGCCAGGGGCTCTCGAATCCTCACAGCTCCACAGTGAGACAGGTGCTGGGAGGGTAAGGACACTGAGGCTGAATGGCAGCATCCTAAAAGATGCATCTACGCCCCAAGCCTTGCACCTGTGCAGGGGCCACACTGGGAAACAGGGTTTCTGCAGGTGTACCTAGAAGTTAAGGGCCTCAAGATAAAAATCACCCTTGATTTATATTGGGCCCTAAATCCTATGGCTGACGTTTTTGCAAGAGAAAGAGCATGGGAACTGGAGACAGAGGCGGAGACTAGGGTGATGACAGGAGCATGGAAAGCCCCAAAAGTGAGAGAGGTGGAGAGAATTCTCCTGACACCCTCTCAGGGAGCCTCGCCCTGCCCACGCCTTGATGTGGGGTGCCAAGCTTCAGGGCAGAAAACAAATTAGCTTCCGTAATTCAAACTACTCACTCTGTGGAGATCTGCTTCTTGTCCACACACAACCACTAGAAGGCTGAGAAACTTGTCCAAGTCAGTTTCCTGGTCAACCGGATGCTGGGCTTAGTGTGTCTGGGTTTTCTGACACTGAACTCTTTCTTCCATTCAAAGGATCACCAGGAGGGGCCGGCTTGTCCAAGATTGGTGTCCTGATGCACCCTTCTGCCTGGTACTCACCCACATACACAGTAGGCACTTAGTAAATGTGTGTCCATTGGCCCTTTCACCCTGATGCTGTGGGGCTGACGCCGAGTTTTGATGGCTGCCTGAGAAATAGAAACAGCTTTTGGTCCTTTGGGAGAGGAGCCTGGCAGAAGGGACAGGAGCGTAGGAAATCACTGTGTCATGTCCCCTCCTAGACTGGCCACAGGCTGGAGACAGCAGAGTGACTTGTGCCGGGCACCTCTTTACCCAGCCTGGTGTCTGGGAATCTCCTGGTGCAGGCTTCAGGCTGAGAAGGTCCATTTTTTTGTTGCTCTTGGTGGCAGCTCTAGGTGGTTCTGCCTCCTCGCCAGTTCCCACGCCTTCCTCTCTGGGATCACACCTTGGCTGACAGCACCCTCTCTTCCTGTGTCCTGTAGAGCCCTTGTCCATCTCCGTTTTCTGACTGAGACTCAGGACACAAGAGCTGCTGCTGCTGGACCTTCCAGCACAACTGGCTTCACCCACTGATCCCTGCAACACCAGCAGCTCTGGAGCCTCACTGAGCCCACAGAAGACTGAGGTCCGAACTGCCTGGGGCCTCAGGGCTTGCCTGTTGTCTTCCCTGTCGGGCTTCTCGGAGTCTGTCATACAACAGTGTGTTTGGGGGCACCTCAGAGGAGCGCAGTGCAGCAGTAGGCATTGGTGAGGAAATGCACTGGGCTAGGTCCTAGAGTCTTTTCTGCTTTCCTTCTTTGGAGGAGCATAGCAGGTGCTAGGGCTAGGACCATCATGACCTAGAAGGTGACTCCAGGTTCTATGGCCAAGCACTTGACTCCAAGGTGTCTGCCTGGGTCTGGCCCCCACTGCACAGCAGTCACTGGATTCCTAGAATCCCCAGGGCAGCTCACTCTGCATGCACTGCTTTCCCCCATGCATGTACACTCATGATAACCAAGTGCAGTCATTGGGTAAAAGCAATAGCTAACAACAAAACAGAAAAGTCTAACAATAGGTTGCAACAGAAGTTGTGTGAACGTGGCCTCTTTTTCTCAGAAAATATTGTTCTGTACTGTACTAACCCTTCTTATGATGTGAGACTAAAACCTACATGATCAGAGGGAGTGAGGTGGGTAATGTGGGCACTGAGATGTAGCCTTAGGCTGCCACATAAAGGTTAATGAACCCACGCATGAGGTTGTGTGACAGTTGGTCTGATAGCTCACACAGCTAAGTGACTAACAGGAGGGTAACGTATACAGCGGGTACACACTGGACAAAGGGAAGATTTGCCTCAGGGCTGGGTAGAGTGAGATTCTGCCCCACTACTCAGAATGGTGCACAATTAAAAACTTATGAACACTTTACCTTTGTAATCCTCTACTTAATATTTTTTGGACCTGAAACACTGTAAAGAATACATGGAGACAAATGTATTGTGCCACTGTGATTGCCCCTGGCCATGCCAGGCTCCAGCTTCTCAAGCTTTGTGCTGTTTGTCCCCAGCACAGAGACCCCATCTTGGTCTCTGTGCCTCTTTCCTAATGTGCTGGGCCCTTTCTGCAGAGGTGCAGCACCAGGACTGTGTCCCTCAGGACCCTGTGTCTTACTCTGCGTTGCTGAGTGCTCGGACTACTATGTCTGTGTGTCATGATTGTGCCCTCCCTACCCTCCTCCATTCTGCCCTCTGCTCTCCCCACCTCCTGTCGCACTGTTGTGTTTTCCTCACTTGTCTGCTTTCTCTCCAGTCTCTAGGCTCCTTGAGGAAAGGGACTATCTATTTTCTGTGATGTTTCATTCAGGAAGATTTTGTTAACTGAAACTCTGATCTTGGTTAACAGCAGTTAAAGCTTGTATCACTCTTCTATGCAGCGAGTCCTGCTCTCACCTCTTCATATTCTGCTAATAAAAATAGCCAGTCTTTAAGGAGCAGCTGCTATGGGCCAAAATTCTGTTTCAAAAGCTTAGCAAGTATTTATTCATCTTAACAGCAGGGAGCCTGGTTAGCTGCTCGTACATCCCGTGAAGGAAAAAACCAGATGCTCTGGGCCAACACCATCAGGACTGGAGCAAAGGACTCCAGGGGCTCTGGGACAATAAATGACAGTGAAGTAAATGCTAGGAGATGCCTGTGCCCATGCCTGGAAAGGGTGTCCAGGCTTCCAGATTCCTTCTTTTATTATTGGTACCCAGGGCCTTCCAGGAAAGAGAGAACCAAAATTTCAGCCAGGGCCCTCATTGAGGAAGGACGAATGACTGCCCGTGTGTAGAGATGGCAATTGTCAGTGTCATCACTGTGTGCACACCATTTGTACAGAGATTTGTTCGTGTACCACCTTGCCCATCCTTGAGGTGTCCTAGGCTGTGGTGGTAGAAACTGAGGTCTAGGGAGCCCATGGGCATTCCAGGAGCATGGAAATGATGAGTGGGGAGCCTGGGTAGCAAGGAGATCCTTAAATCCTGAAGCCTGGGGCTCCACACAGCTGCTCCATTATCAGGATGAAAAGCAGCTCTGCTTGCAGCATCAGTAGGTGCCATACGACAGTATCTACCCTGTGCCACACGCATGACAGGGTTCTGGGTGTGTATTACTTACTCCCCCGAATGCAAACTTATAGAGCCTGCTAGGTGCCAGCACACTGTGCTTTATGTCATCCTGTCCTCAGGAGGATCTTGGTGGAGAGAGAGCTACTGTTATGTCCACTTCAGGAAACTGAGATTCCAGGAGTTTAAACCACATGCTCAAGGTAACCCAGCTACTGAGGCTCTGAGGCTTAAATAAACCCAACCTCTTCCAGTTTCCTGGGGGCAATCAGAGTGACATGGACCTCACCCATGCCAGCAAAGAGAGCTCATGCACTCCACTAATTCAGGCAGTTCAGGATCTGCTGACAATAAAAACCACACACACACACACACACACACGCACACGCACACGCACACACGGTACATGGCACCTTTCATATGTCTTATATTCCAAAATCTTTCCATGATCAGTGTGGCAAATCTGATCCTTCAGCTGGAACCAAACCCAAGAGTATTTTATGAAGATCTTGAAACTGTGCAGCCGAGGCAATCAGGGTTTCACCATAACCCAAAAGAAAACGAAAGTGTTTTCACCACCCATGCGCAAACCGATGGAGGTGGTTTGAAATCCTGTGGGAACCAGCTCTCGATCGCGTTCCCTGTGGAGACTCTTCCTTTCCCTGCGGTCTCCTAGGACCTGTGGCAGTGCCAGGCACATGCTGTGCCCTTCATGGATTCCCACGGACTTGCTGGGTGGCGCAGGGTGTCGCAGGGCTTTGGCTGTGCCCAGCATGGCCCAAGGATAAGGGACAATCATCCTCACCTCAGCATCGCTACCAACAGCAGAGAGAGCCTTCCAAAGCGGGTTAAAATGGGAACCATGTCTGATTCCAAGGAGACACCAGGGCTTCTCATAATTGGTCTCCCAGAAAAGCAAGAGCATGCAGAGTCCTGTGAAAGAGGTTGTCTTTTTTCCTCCCAGAAATGTAAATACACTTTTGGTGGGATTTGCCACCCTACACTAACCATGCAGAGTTTCTTTCCTCATTAGACT